CTAATAGGGAGGGGCAAGTGGAACAAAAGGTAATAACTGTGAAGGAAGAACTGATGGGAGAAATAAAAAATTCAGTTGTTAGCTGAAGGCAGGGTAGGCTTCCCTGAAAAGATGAGTTTTCCGGGATCACCTAAAAGTGGACATAGTAGGCGATATCCAGACAGATTGGGGTAGGGAGTTCCAGAGGATAGGGGAGGCTCTGGAGAAGTCCTTGGAGATGAGTATGGAAGGAGGATACAAGATAGCTAGAGAGCAAGTGGTCTTGGGAGGAGAAGGTTGTGGGTAGGTGCAATGGCAGAAAACAAGCAATTAACAAGACTGTTATTGAAGGAATGGCCCAAATATACAACAACCCAGCAGGAAAGCTAAAAAAAACACTCACAGTTTTGTGCAACTTGCAGTGTAGAATAGGTTTTGATGCACCAGAAGTGTCTGTCTCTGAGGGTGGAATGCGGCCTGGCCTGTTTTGAGCCCAATGGGGGGGATTTTTTGATGTAGGATGGCATGTGCCTTTCCCTGCCACTACTCACTTTCCCTGTATGACAGATGCTCTGTCCCTACACTATCGACTTGAAACAAAGTGCGCCAAAGCCTGGGGGCAGACAAATATAAAGACTCTGCTGACCCAAGATGGCCACCAAGATCTCCTGTATGTTGCATTGCCAACCAGAACACTGCCTCGCTGGCCAAGGAAACCATCGAAGTCCTGGGACTGCACCTGCCTACACAAGGAGGACAGTTTAGGTGATATATTGAAACAAAATTGGTGATGTAGCTTGGGGCAGAGTTGTAAACGGCTTTGTATGATGTTGTTAATATTTTATTCATTGAGCAATCAAAAGCCAATAAAGAGATTAGCAAAGAGGGATGGCAGACACTGAGTTTTTGGTTTAAAAAAAGTTTTGCCTTTATTTATATTTTAATGAAAAATTTTTAGAATATTAAAGCTGAACTCCAGATTTCATCTATATTACATAGTTACATAGGTCTAGCTTGGCACAATGTAGGTAGAGATAACTCATACCTGAGAGGCTGCTGGGAGACCCAACAATCACTGTATTGGTTGGTGCTACTACAGTGATAGCCATATTCTTCTGGGTTCTGTGACTCCCTGTGGCCAGGGTGCAGAAGGGAAGTTGCTAAATGTTTTCAATGAATACATGACATTCTCTGATTGAATGAGGTGGCTTCCCCACCCCTCCTCTCTTCTTCATCAAATTAAAATAAATACAAGACATTCTATGAATGGCAGTGGTACTGGGCAACCAACTCCCTGTGGTTAGTATGCATTAGTACAGCAGCCACTTGCATAGAACCTGATTGCGGCTATTACTGTAGTAGTACCAACTACCACAGTCATAGCCAGCTTCCTCAATGGCCGCTTAGGTATGGGATATGTATACTTAGATTGGTCCAAGCAAAACCAATGTAACTATGCAATAAAATCCATACCTGGAGTTCAGCTTTAAATTGTGCAATTTACTGAAATGCTGAGATGGAGTTTTCAAGTTCCCTAAGTATAATTATAGAGAGTGGCAAATCTGACAGATTTAGATGGGGTCTAGTGTGGTTGCCTGATCTGCTGTGACCTCTAGTGTCTGTAAAATCCAAACAGTAATACTTTTATGTCATTTTCACAATTGATTATTGTGACTTTGGGACAGAAGCCACCGTGTCTGCAAAACCCATCTCAGGGATAAGCAATTTATTTGTTCAAAATCTCTGCCTTTCCACATGTATAAATTTGGTTTATGTTGACCCCCAAATACAGTGTCTACAGTTCTGGGGACTTTGATCATTCCATGCAAATTATCGAAAGAGAGTACCGTGCCATTTTCGCCTAACCTCTCAAATTATGTATGCTAATAGAGATAAGTGTTCTGTAATGTTTAGTCCCCATTTCATCACCGTCTTCTGACTCGGAATCAAAGGTTATGAAACATGGACATCATTTTCAAATCAAAATAAATCTGTCTGCCAGTGCAACACAGATTATATTCATTTTATAAGAAACCAAATTAAATTTCCATTTTTCAAAAAAAAAAAAAAAAACTTTATAAAAAAAAAACATATAATGTAATTTAGGTTGACCTTCACTCAAACTGGTAAATTCACAGATGAAATATTTATATATGTGGTGATTATGCAAAGGCTTTTAGTCTGCACTAGAAGCTCCAGCAAGCCACATAGAGCCTGCCTTGTTTTGTGGCTGGAGAACGTTTAGCATCATCTAGCTCTTTCCACCCCAGACTGACACTCTCTGGCCTGCTCCCTTCAATTACTGAACTTCTGTTCTTTCAATCATGGAGGCTCAGCATTGCATGTGAGTGTTATCTAGAGCGGTCTGCATGCAAATGAGTTCTGCCCAGGAGCTTCCTCTGGCATCCATCCATCAAGGCATTTTGACATTAGAAAAATTTCTCCCAAAAGCCAGACCACTACTTGCATCAGGACCGAGGGCTCTTAAGTTGAGTACTGAGGCAGGGGGCTTTTAACCTCCCTGGTGGTATGATTATTTCAGATTTATGGTGTTGAAAGGGGTACCATTATTTTGCATGGAAATTTGGCATTTTATATTGTAGGCCTGTAATTTTTAGGAATAACTCACTGAAATCTATCCGAACAAGAGTCAAGTAAACATCTCGGGTAGGATAAAACTTGAAACACAAAATCATAAATTATAATTTAATAAATAATCATAAAAAATAATAATAATAAATTTAATTCAATAATATAATCAAACCAAAACACTGAAATTTGAAATATAGCTCCAAGTTCGCACATCACTGAGCTCAGTCGCAAAATCGTTTTCAGTGTCTGATGACGAATTTCCCCACGAATCATTATCACTCAATTCTGCAAGTGGTTCTGATTTACTATCGCTGTTCTCCAGCTGGTCTAAAACCACTTTTGACCTAAAGGGATGCTTTTTGGACACCATGGACGTTTCTCAGTTTCCAGGCAGAAAGAACAGTAAAAATACAGGCAGGGCACAGGACAAAGTACTCGGGACAAAATGTATGTGAAATGGCTTGATGCAGTAATATTTTACTATGTGAATTTAGTGATTTTAGTGAATGTCACTTTTTGTCATTTTAAAATTTCCCGCCGGTTCCGTTCCGAGCTACACTCGGGCTTACCATGCGGCGCTGCTCCGGGATCCCTCGATCACTTACCTTGTCCTGCACTCCTGCGATGTCCCTCCTGCAGTGTCCCTTCTGCAATGTAATCCGGCGGATGCCGGCATCTGTCATCTGGGTTCCGTCCCCTGCAAGCGTCGGGACGTATGGTAAGCCCGAGTGTAGCTCGGGGTTACCGCTTGTGGTACTGAAACTTTACCCCGAGCTACACTTGGAAATACCACCAGGGAGGCTACGTAGAGTACTGAGGCAGGGAGCTCTGATGTTTCCAGGAAGCTATGCACATGTAGCGCTACCCACCTAGGAGCCACTGAATAGGATGGTTCCTTTGTTCCTTGCCTGGACCTCCTCAAGAATCTCACCCATCCTGACAGACTAGGTCATATTTGGAACATGCAAGGTCACAGGAAATCACTGAAGATAGCACTTAGCAGTAATAACTTGTCAAAGAAACAGGCACTAAGCATGTCTGTAAAAAGGGACTTACTATAGTATCACAAACCAAGGTCAGTAAAGCAAACAAAGTTGAATCAATAATGATAGTAACACCCTTTAGCATACAAACTGATGAGTAGTTGGGCACACTGCACCCAAGGCTTTTTTCCATCCTGCTGTGAACCCCAAACACACTGGCGATATCCTATAGGACGATTCAGAGTGGTCTTATATCCATAACACAGATGAGCTTTATTTATTTCTTGCTCTTGTGAGTGTTTTTAATACCAATATTAAACTTTTACTGTTACATACTTCACTTAGCTTGGCGCCTCCTGTTCCTCTTTTCTAAACTGATGAGTAGTAAGGACTAAGCAAAAGATGTTTTTTGGGGCCCAGATCAGCATAAACAGTAGCAAGGCCACCTTAAGCTCAATAGTGAGCAATTATAAATCTTAAACTACTAAACACAGAACTATACTGCCAGAGTGCATAAATGGCACTTAAAATGGTAAACAAAAAGGGGAGGGGAACAGAAGGACTTTTAGGATGGTTTAATGAGCAGGACAGTATTTTAACAGGAAGGGCAGTCTTATAACGGGAGTGTCAGACACCATGAACCAGGTGGAGACAGAAAGTACAGTTAAAATCACACCTTTGATGAAATAGCAAATATAATATAGATCAGGAACATAGTCAAAAAAGAAGCCAGGGTTTGGATGCCAGATCAGGTAAACAGATGAGCCAGAGTCAGGAAACTAGAAGTCAGCGTAGTCAGGAGCCAATAATGAGGAGCAGGAAGTCAGCTAGACCGAGTTCTACACAGGAACATGGGCAAGAACACAATGAAGATCATAGACTATGCAAGAGCAATGAGGAAATGAGCTAAGCTGCTAAAATAGAAAAAAGAATTGCTGGTGGGCTGGACTAATGAGGCAGGTAATGGTATGGCTGGTAATAAACCAACAGCTGAGCAGCTTCTGAGCACTGAAAGAAAAGAACTGCTCATTAAGTAGCAGGAGTCTAGCCCTGACAGGGAGGGGCAGTCATTTAAGTAGTTCTTCTACCTATTATTGGGGCCCTTTAGGAAGCATCCATGTGCTTAGTAACAGTCTTAATACACCAGCATGCAGTATGGGGAGGTAAATGTGTAATGTAGAGATGGCACAGGTGCAACATCAATAGGGTATAGATGCAGAATAGGTAAGGCACAGGTGTAGTATGGTTGTGGAATGCTTAAAGTATTACTAAACCCAGGACCCTGCATTCACTATATCTGGTCTCCCATAGTACACACAACATGGAAATGCAATTATTTTAGTAAATATAAACTTCTAAATACCTTGTAACTTCTATCAGTATTCAGCAGAGCACTGGGTAAAGCTTGTAGAAGGAGTTTTCTTTCTGCTCTAGGAGGATGCAGAACCCCTGACCTCTGTCTGGACAGTGCTGATTGGCCCTGTGCTGATCACATGCACTCTCTAAGAAATAAAAACCTCTCTAGCAATACACATCAAATGGAGCATGTGCAGAGTTTTTTCCACACAATATGTCTTATCAGGAGATAAGGGGAGGGGGGGCACTGGAAGAAGGGGAGGATCAGGGAAGTCAGGATCAAACAGCATTTTTACACAGTGCAGAAGATTAACCCCTTAGGTTCCAAAGTGAGTACAGCAAGCATCAGAGAAGACAGGATCAAAAAGCCTTTTTACACAATGTGGAGGATAACCCTCTTAGGTTCCAGTGAGTATAACAAGCACTGCATATACAGACTGATTTTACTGTTGTGGGTTTAGTAACACTTTAATGTCTTGACTCCAGTGACTCAGTTCCTGCTAACAGTGTGAATGATGGGCAATGAGCCCTTTCACCAGTTTTGCTGTGGAATGGGGTGCCCCACTCTCTCTCTTTGCATTGGATGCCTCCAGAATCCAGCTGTGGGAAGTAAAGGGTAAGAGGACACCCCTGTCCCTGTCTTCCTATGGCAATGATGTGGTGCAATCAATGTGGTCTGTGTTTCTTGACAAGTGCGTCGCTCTCTCCTCCTCGGCCTCTGCTGAATTCCACCATCTTGGCCTTTCAACAATCAGTCAACGGCCTCAGATCTATATTTCCTGTGGAGTCCTGTGGCGCCAAGAGGGCAAGGTTTCCCGGGCAGATCAGCCTTCTCACTTCTCCCCCTGCTCTATGGTTCCTCTTGGGAACTGTAGTGTAAAGAGTCCATTGCCCATGTTGTGTGGCTGTCAGGAATGGACTTGCCAATAGTGGTGGTACTCACCTGCCTTGTGGGCTGCAGTAGCAGGGCTGGCCAGCGGGTGCTCTCAACAACCAGAGGTTCACTTCAGCAATTAGCCATCACCTGGGGCTGATTGCAGGTGTATTTAAGGGATGGCCAGACCTGCAGTCTGTGCCTTGGTGTGGTTTTTCCATGGGCCCCTGTATCTTGTAACCTGCGTTCCTGTTCCTGCCTGACTTGTTGCCGACCCTGCCTGATCCTGACCTCTGCTGACTTCTCCTGTTTTGATCCCTGGCTTGTGACCCTGACCATTCTCTCCGCCTGCTCCTCCTGTACCTACCTGCCCGATAGTTATCGACCCGGCCTGCCTAACTACGTTGTGCTCTACATGTGTATGTACCTGGGTATCTGTATCAGTTTAGGTTTGGGTTTGTTTCACCTTGTTGTATGTATTTGTGTTAGCTTGGGGTTTGGTGCACTGCGTTTATGTTTGTATTGTTAGTCTTTAATAAAGCGTCTTATTTATACCATATCTGAAGCTTGTGTGTTTCCCTGTGTCAGTCCACACACTTCTGGTCACACCTGCATCTCTGACATTACACCAAGGCCAAAGACCTGACCAGAAGTGGCTGCACAGGGAGGCCATCTTGGCTTATTGTTGCTGGGAAGGATGGATCTTGATGAGGTGGTGTATTTATCTTTGCTAGTGTTTGATGACAAAGACTATGCTTATCAGACTCTTGAGTATACCCGGGATCAACTGCTAGAGTGTATAAGGATCGCTCATTGTCTACAGTTGTGTCCAAAATTATTCAACCCCCAATGCTGTAAAGGGGTTTAGGGACTATAGTGTACATTTGGAATTGTATTCAGAATCAAATCCTACAAGGACGTTGTAACTACCCAAATGCAACTAAAATGACATCAATTGTTTATGTAATACAGTAGTAAATGGTTCTTATGTGGTTTCTTCATTGCCACAATTATTCAACCCTAAAGACTACCACTCTGAAGAACAGAGGTTCATACAGGTGCTTTCCATCAGGTATTGAAAACACCTGTGGATGTCACCGAGCAGCAATCAAGCATAATAAGCACCAATTAGGCAGCTTTAAAATGACTGTGATACTCAGCTCCTTCTAGACATTTACTGGTGTGGTTACAAACATGGTGAAGGCAAGAGAATGGTCCAGGAAGACAAGAGAAGAGGTGATTTCTCTTCACAGGAAGGGCAATGGCTATAAGAAGATTGCAAAGATGTTAAACATACCAAGAGACACCTTAGGAAGCATCATTCGCAAATTCAAGGCAAAGGGCACTGTTGAAACGCTACCTGGTCGTGGCAGAAAGAAGATGCTGACTTCGACTGCTGTGCGCTACCTGAAGCGTAGAGTGGAGAGAAGTCCCCGTGTGACTGCTGAGGAACTGAGAAAAGATTTGTCAGATGTGGGTACAGAAGTTTCAGCCCAGACAATAAGACGCACACTGCGTAATGAAGGCCTCCGTGCCAGAACTCCCAGGCGTACCCCCTTGCTGTCTCCAAAGAATAAGAAGAGTCGACTGCAGTATGCCAAAAGCCATGTGGACAAACCACAAAAGTTGTGGGATAGTGTTCTGTGGACTGATGAAACAAAATTAGAACTGTTTGGGCCCATGGATCAACGCTATGTTTGGAGGAGGAAGAACAAGGCCTATGATGAAAAGAACACCTTGCCTACTGTGAAGCATGGTGGAGGGTCAATCATGCTTTGGGGCTGTTTTGCTTCTGCAGGTACAGGGAAGCTTCAGCGTGTGCAAGGTACCATGAATTCTCTTCAGTACCAGGAGATATTGGATGGAAACGTGATGCAGTCCGTCACACACCTGAGGCTTGGGAGACGTTGGACCTTTCAACAGGACAATGATCCCAAGCATACCTCCAAGTCCACTAGAGCATGGTTTGCAGAGGAAAGGCTGGAACATTTTGGAGTGGCCATCGCAGTCACCAGACTTAAATCCGATTGAGAACCTCTGGTGGGACTTAAAGAAAGCAGTTGCAGTGCGCAAGCCTAAGAATGTGACTGAACTGGAGGCCTTTGCCCATGAAGAATGGGCGAAGATACCCGTAGATCGCTGCAAGACACTTGTGTCAAGCTATGCTTCACGTTTAAAAGCTGTTATAACTGTAAAAGGATGCTGTACTAAGTACTAAGATTGAATGTCACTTGGGGGTTGAATAAAACTGATAATGCTGTGAGCACAGAAAAGACATTTGTGGTTATTTTCATTATAACTTATGTTATATTTGTCTGACCTACAAGTGCCTCTTTAATGTAAATGTAAGCAAGATGACTGAATGATCAAAAGCAATGTCAAACTGGCCAAAACACTCAATTTCAGTGGGGGTTGAATAATTTTGGACACAACTGTAGTTGATCAGGGCACAGAGTTTTCTGAGGTGCAGCCATTGATCCAGGTTTGTGCTGAGTTGGCTCGGTCCTGTACCCCTGAAAGCAGGGATGACTTTTTTCCCCCATTTAGTGTGGATCAAGTGGAATCACTGGTATGGTTGTTGGAGGATGATCCAGATTGTTTCCATGAGCACGCAGCATGTCCATCACATTGTGCTTATGGATTGCATAAACGCAGTGCAGTCTTTGATCAGACAGGCTAGGTGTAAGCTGAGTTTTGTTAAACCAGTACTGCAGACATGGACAGATTTGTTACACCCAGCCTCAGTTGGCTTGCAACATCATTCCTCTGCTCAAGGCACTCTTCCTGCATCCCCGACAGCACCCCCAGTGATGGCCCAGTATACTCTGCTAACTACCACATACCAGTCCCCTGCTCCCACTCGCTGCACCTATCCTTTCTTCAACCCTGTAAAGAAGTCCTCTGTAGCAACTGCTCCCTTCTCTGTTCCATCCTCCAGCTCTTCTCTGTCTCCAGCTGCTCCATCCGTTTACAAACCTGCGCTTACTTACAGTGCTCCAGTAACTAAAACCAGGAAAAGGCGAAAGTTCTTCCCAACCAATACCATCCTGCCAGTATCCAAACCGGTCAGCCTCCCATCTGAGAACCTGCCTTCCGTGGTGCAGCCTGGTGCCTCGGCGCCCACAATTCAGCCTGATGTCTCTACCCAGCCTGATGTCTTTACCCAGCCTGATGCCTCTACCCAGCATGATGCCTCTACCCCAGCATGATGTCTCCATTCAGCCTGATGTCTCCATTCAGCCTGATGTCTCTACCCAGCATGATGTTTCTACCCAGCCTGATGAACTGGTTCAGCCTGATGATCCTATTATGCCAGATGACTCGATGCCCGCTGTTCCGCCAGATTACTCGGTGCCCGCGGTCTTGCCAGATGACTCGGTGCCCCCTGTCTTGCCAGACGACTCGGTGCCCGCAGTCTTACCAGACGACTCGGTGCCTGCTGTTCCGCCAGTTGACTCGGTGCCTGCAGTCTTGCCAGACGACTCGGTGCCCGCTGTCTTGCCAGACGACTCGGTGCCCGCTGTCTTGCCAGACGACTCGATGCCCGCTGTTTTGCCAGTTGACTCGGTGCCTGCAGGCTTGCCAGACGACTCGGTGCCCGCAGTCTTGCCAGACGACTCGGTGCCCGCAGTCTTGCCAGACGACTCGGTGCCCGCTGTTCCGCCAGTTGACTCGGTGCCCGCAGTCTTGCCAGACGACTCGGTGCCCGCAGTCTTGCCAGACGACTCGGTGCCCGCAGTCTTGCCAGACGACTCGGTGCCCGCTGTTCCGCCAGTTGACTCAGTGCCCGCAGTCTTGTGATAATGAAAATCTGTGTGCAGGGTGCAGCTGGGCATGGCATTGTTACCCACGTGACATCACAGTTTTAGATTGGCTAGTCCTTTGGTCACGAGTTTGGTGAGAAGGTCAGGGGTCTGATGCTGTGTTCGTCACAGATGGTGTCAGTAGTGCAGTGCACGGTGTCAGTAGAGCAGTGGATGGTGTCAGTAGAGCAGTGGACGGTGTCAGCAGGGCAGAGGTTGGTATCAGTAGAGTCAGTGGATGGTGTCAGTAGTTTTTATTTTTACATTTTTATTTTTTTATATTTTTCACAATTTCTTTAGGAGCCCTGTTGAAAGGGGAGCACTTGGGGGAAGGGCCAGGCAGCAGAAAAAAAGGAGGAACAAGGGTGGAAGGGGCCCCGGGGGGGGGAGGGAGGGGGCGTTTACTTGAAACTGATTCCCTGGATTTTCCTCCTGCAGCAGCTGTATGCTGGTGGGAGGGCGAGGAGGAGATGCTAGCTTTCAGTTGCTCCAGGAGGACAATAAGTGGGATCGTCAGAAGGCAGGTATTTTAAATATCTGAATTCCCAGCAAGTGGCCAGGGATTGGGATTTTTCTGCCCCCCCAGCTACCCTGGTGTTAAAAGGTGGCTGCCTAAGCAGCCGTATGCTGGGTGCCAGCATAAGGCTGCTTAGGCAGCTGCCTTAGGGCATCAGGGTGGGAGCAGAAAAATCTTGATCCCCAGCCAATTGCTGAGAATTCAGATTTCTAAAATACCTGTCCATGGGAGGAAAGGGGGGAGGGGGAAGAGGACACTTCTGGTGGGGGGGGGAA